GAAGGGGTCATTTTGGCTCACAGTTCCAGCAGAAGCCTTCCATGGTGGAAGTCATGGTGGCAAGAACTTGAGGCAGTTGGCCACATTGTATCGAAGTCAGCAGGCAGAGGGAGACCAGTTTCTGTGCTCAGCTCACTTTCTCCTTCAGTTAGGACCATAACACGTGGGATGGAGCCACCCACACACAGGGTGGCTACTCTGTTGGTTGAGCTTTTCTGGAAACATCCCCATAGAGACACCCATTCCCTGGTGATTCAAACTCCCATCAAGTTGACAAAGAAAACTAATATCATAGGAGAAAATTCCTCTCCTTGTCCACATGCAAAGAAGAATCATTCCACTGAAGGCATTTGATCCTGACCAAAGGATCGATATGTTCCATTCTTCTGAGAAACAGGGTCACTTCTCAAAACTATGAATGAGTGCATTTTAAGACTCAAAAATGTCCTAGTTAAATTTTACTTTCAGATTAACAATTTTTATCCTACCTATTCATCCATATAGGTTTTGAGATATGCTTTCAAAAGTCTCTGTTTATCTAAAATTCAAATATATTCTATATTTTTACCTCTCAGCTTTAATTAAGATCACTCTAAGACAAACCTCTAGGAGTCTGTGTGTGTGGCTTGGGTGACAGTACTGTTGGGGGATGGGACATGAGTTAAAAACAGGGAGCCAAGAAAAGGAGGAGGCTGCAAATGTGGAGAACAGTGAGGAAACAAGAGATCTGCTCAGTGGTCACTTTGACCCACTGGTAGCTTAGTGATCATGCTCTGGGAAACCATAATGAAGACTTTAAAAATTCCTACAAACCAGAAATCCTAGTGCTGAAATATGACTAAGACATAGCATGGACTTCATGACGACAAAGAGAGGCAAAAGCGAGTAACACTAAAGTCCTCCTAACTCCCTAGTTCTTTAACAAATCTGAATGAACATAAGTTAGTCTACATGTGTGACCTGGCAACAATCTGTCACAGGTCTTAATGCTCAGTGTCAATAAAGATGGGACAAGACACCAGACTCCAAGTTGGTGAAAACATAAATTTGTACAATGTTTATAGAGAGGAAAGGTTTGGGAAACATATACACAGCCTAAGACACGGTTCCCTTCTCCTTTGCTCTGAAAGTCGTACCTACAAACAGTAATGAGAATTTCTCTCCCAACACTGTTTTTATTGTAGTGAATAATTGAAGAGAAAATTCAAAGTCAAGAATAAGGGCTGATCAAATAAACAATACCATATTCATCTAATGCGGTTCTTTATTTAGTATATTTAAAATCTGGGAAAAACATAGACATATTACTAATTAGAAAAAAATTAGTTAACAA